TAACAAGCATATTAAATACTCTAAATGTAAGAGCAAATATTCTCATTTCTTAAAGTAATTATAGTTCTGTTTTCTTCTTTTTTTTCTTTGCTCCCTGCAATATGTCTAAGATTCTTTAGAATGATGAAGCTTTCCAGTTATTAAGCAGTTTTGTTTGAAGTGCATGACCTAGGATTCTATTAATGATCAGTTCTGACCCCTACACCTCCCTATAGAGTCCTAGAGATAAGAAGAAGAGCAGGGAATTATTGATTGAAACTAATGTGGTGTCCTTGTAGATCCTGAGTGTCTGTGTTAAACAAAATCAATCAATGCTAACTGAAAAGCATGTTAATCATAATGTATGAACAACTTATATACACTAACATCCTATAGAAACCAGTATTGCTACAACACTTGCAAAAGCAATTATATATTACTAAAACTCTAAAAAGTAAAAAAAAACCAAACAAAAAACCAATCAAACCACACTTTGATTTGTAATAAAAGGTGTCTGAACACTTTGAATTTGCTTACCTGAGCTATAACTGTCCAAATTTAAGATTTTTGGATATTGGGATTGATCTCCTGGCATTTCTCATAGCACTTAGTGGACAAAAAAGTAACTGGTACTCAAATCCAGATCATAACAGTCTTCTAATCACAGAATTCAGGTAAGCAAATTAATGATTGCCATCGTAATTTTCTCAGGCAAATAAACAAATTCTCTCATACCATTTTCCCTCTCATCAATGGATTCTATTTTCTGAACAAAATTGCAATTTATTTAATTTACCTATAAATATATATTCTACATAAGTATGGGAATTATTAAACATTTAAAAGTTCTTTGCACACTTCTCAGGATACCATCCTTGAATTCTAAGAAATGCTTTGCCATAACAAATTTTTTCAGATTTATACAATTCTTGTGAAAGAACACAAATCATGAGTGCATCTGTTCACAAACTTTTATCAAAGACTTTACATCACTTGCTTTAAAAAAATTTAAATTAGCAAAGGTACTGAACAAAACCAAAGAATAATTGCTATCTTCCAATCTCTCACTGGTTCCAGCTTAAAAACTGATGAAGCTTAACTGACACACAGGGAAATTACACTGGCGATAAACCAGATGCTACATTGAAATAAAATATCTAATCAAACTAATGCAACTGAGGTCATTGATATGGAATTTGATCTCAAAAATGGGACTAGGGAACACCAGTTGCAAATAAAAATAGTATAATGAAAAGTGCAGGCAAACCGCTGTCATAATATCACAAACCCTACATTCATGAATAAAAATCACATCATAACAAAACATACGAAGTATACATTATGACTCTGTGGGTGTAGAAATGAAGCAATCAACACTAAATCAAGCTTTAAATCAGGGTGAATATCGATGCAATTTTTTCAGAATACATTAGCAATCTGCCATAGTTAAAGACTGCTCAAAAAAAAAATCCAAATCAAATCAACCTTCTCCATCATATGGAAATATTTTAAGAAAATCTCTGTTCTTCATGTACTGCTCAGACCAAGTTCTAAACACTGTATTTCCATTTCTAAGAATTCCAGTTTTATCTATCTGACATTCACTGTGTTTTCTTTCTTAGGAAAAGGCCTTCACTGATGCAGCAGTGGAAAGCAGAGTGGATTTTGATAATCAACTCAGGACTTACTCTAAGAGCGATGTTGACAAGTGCAATCTCACCCAATGTTTGTAAAGTTTAAGAGCCCTTAAATTACCTACTCCTTTTGCTGCAAGAATTGACACTGATTTCAAAGCTCCAGGAAATATACTACACAACTGAATATATTCTCTCCATTGAACATTGTAAACATGGTAGCAAGGTACAACACAATCCCTTTTAAGGTTGTAAAAATTACCAGTTTCGATACTGAATTCTTAAATCACTCTCTTGCTAGAAGACGCAACAAAATTGTTAGCTAATATTTTCTCACTATTGGATTAGCAGGTCACACTTTGCATTAAAGGTCTAAGGTCCACCTTCACTTTAGAAATAATTTCTTTAAAATCAAGACTATATAAAGAATGAAATTAAAAGAAACAAATTTTTGAGGGTTTTTTTTAACAGCAAAAATAAAATGTCAAACAGTAATTATATACTAAACATCAACTGTTATACAGATGAAGAAAAACGTGCAAAAGTAGATTCTACATCCTCTTTAAGAAAGCTCAGGGAAGGATTTATTTGTTTCAAAAATTGGTTTGTTTATCATAAAAAAAAAAAAAAAAAAACAAAAAAAACCAACCCAACAATTATGTTTGGTTTTTACTTTCCTAAACCAGCAGTGTTTGACTTAATATTGGAGACAAAATCAGCTTTCTGCTACATATTTTTATGTAGCATTCATGTAATGTTCAGAATAAAGCTTTAAGTAGTTGTGTTTGAAAAAAATCATTCTAGAAATGTGTATAAAAATATGGAAGAATTCAGTGTTAATTCTTTAACGTACGAACCTGGTAAATTCACAGATGGATACTTGTCAGTCAGTGGCCAATTTATCTGCCAGCTTTACTTGCAAGCAGGTTAGAGACAAGATAAAGTGCTTGTTTATTCTTTTCTTTATAATTGTGTTTATGTCATGTAAAACTAATTTTTTAGCTTCAGTCATGAAAAAAAACCTAGTCAAAGGTTTGACTTTTGCCTTCATTTTAGTCGGGAAACGATACACAGTTCTAGGTATCACTAACTTTTTTGAGCTCTGATTACAAAACATCCCCAACAGTGCTGAGGAAAACAAAGTAGCATGTCCTACATATCTTGTAGTTATTCTCAGCAAAGGCCTCAACATCCTAATTTTAAACATTTCAGAAAATAATGAAGAACCATGTTATTATATCTTAATACGTCACAGAATCAAAGAACACCAAGTAGGAAGGAAACCTCAAGGATCATCTGGTCCAACCTTTTTAGGCAAAAATGCCAATCTAGACAAAATGGCCCAGCACCCTATCCAGCTGAATCTTAATTGTACAATACTGGGGAATCACCAGTTCCCTGGGGTGTTTCAAATGATGTTTTTTCTCATTTTGAAAAATTACCATTTTGTGTCTAATTGGAATATCCACAGAAGAAACTTGTACCTATTATCTCTCATCTTTTCCATATGACTCCTTGCCAGCCTTAAAAAAAAATTATGGTATATAGACACAAATGTTAAAGGGAAGCTTTATTTTTCAACTGATGAACTTCCCGCTTATTCTTCAGACGTGAAGTATTACATAAAGAACCTTCTCTGTCTACATGTTCTCAAACCATGGATCCTGTCATTCAGTTCTCTGCTTTCATAAAATGATGATCAAGCGCATTGAAAGCACAAGCACAATTTGAAACAGACTTTCTTAATGAGTTTCCCGAATAAATAAGTAAAGAAAGAAAAAATATTTTCAAATATCAAATTAACTCGAAGCTTCCACATTTTGAAAACAATCTAATGTAATAATCGAAGGATGAGGTGCAGTCATGTCTTCTTAGTGACATTTACATTCCAGCTAAGTTTCATCTTAAGACACTCACAGGTGTATGGAGGCAAGGCAGAAAAACAGTGTGTAACAGAGAATGATACATCTGACTTATCCTAGGGAGTTAAGATGAGACAAATTACTCTGGGAAGGTCCCTTTTGCTCTTTATTGGGTATAAAGAAAAACTGGAGTTGCTAGCAGCTACCTTTGGATACCCGCAAATCAATCTAACCATAGGCCAAAACTGACTGACGAAAAATTATGTTTTGTTCCCATCAGCTAGAGCAAAATTTTTTTTTTTTTTACTTAGAACTTTGCTGTTTTAAAATAGGAAATATATGTTGAATATTTTAATTGGCAGTAAGCATTTTACCTAAAGTCACAACTATAAATGACACAATCAAATCATTCCTTTCTTAAGCAGTGTTATGATCCAACAATAAAAACATGAAAGGAGAACTACTGGATATAGTATTATACCATGAAAGAGACAGCTAAGAAACTATCTTGCAGAATACTGAAAACAGTGAAAGAAAAATACAAAAATAGAATGTGCATGATGTTCCATATTTAGCTTTGTGGGTTGGCTCTGAAATCTCCTTTTGAGCTGTCTTTGATGATCACTGGTAAGACCAAATTCTGAGGCAACAGTAGGGTGTTCTCTACAATATTTTTATCTGAGGACTTAAAACAGCCAGTATTCAAAGCTAATCCATATTTATTATAGTTCTCTACATAAGCACATGTTGTTTTTTTTTTACTTTTGGGGTTACTAGTTAATGGAGACTAGATCAAGACATATAATTCCACATCATTATTTTCAATATGTCTCCAATTTCATTTTTAATATTAATGCTTGCTAAAAGCCCTGCAAGGCAGACCTCTCTTGAAGACTCTCCCACTGTTAACATAATAGAGAATTTAATTTGTCTCAAAAAATTATTTCAAAGTGAAACTTTCTCATACCTCCCTGTATGTGAGCAGTTTTCCAGCTACACGCTATCAGTGCATCTGCAGTGAATCATACAGAATATCATTTTAAAGAGAGAAGAAATACTGGACATGTGATGTACATTCAGATACTGTATTCTAATTATAGCATCAGTGCTTTCTTCAACAGCATTAAATATCACACAGGAGCAGTCACATTAGCCTCCCAGTGGCATAAGACCTTTGAGGCTTGCTTGCTGCATTTTTTTAATGTTTTAAGGAATAAAAAGTGAGGAAAAAAGAATGCCATTTCACTGCTGATTCTGCAATCACATGCAGAATATAACAGTACCATGCCCTTAACATTCAACTGCCTATCAAGTTAAAACAAAAGCGAAATTTCCAATGGAAAAAAATGTGATATCTATACTATTAGTCAGTTTTACCCTTTGGTTGAATTTCAATGCTATTGCCATTGTTAGTTGGGACAACATGAACATTTCTTCTATAGAGTTTTTATGGTTTATTGGGTTTTTTTATGAGACACCACTCTTGTATTGGCAGAAACTGATTGAATAGATTTTTGCTTCTTACCATCAACACACGCTGGCCTTGCTCTTGTTGTACCGGCAATCTGTCCTTTTTTACATGCACAGCGAGCTGTTTGTCGGGCTATAGTCCTTCGGGGCTGACTGCTATCTCTGTCCAAAGTAACAATCTCACATGTACCTGCAGCCAGTTGACCTGGAAAAAAAAACCAGCAACAGGTACCAGAGTCACTGAATGCACTACAGGAAATCTATTACAGCCAAATAGAGCCATGGCCATAAGTCACGGCAGACACTCCACAACAAATGGGCAGCCAGCCGATGGATATAATAACACTGAGATGACATACACTTTTTCTTTGTGGTGGACATATGAAAACCCTGCACACTGGTTCTGTCAGAAAATTATTATTGTTCCGTAAAAGCTAGAGAGTTGAGGTTACATAGGTTACTTTTACTTATGTTGGCTAAGTAAAGGAACAAACTTTCATGACAATGGAATTTAAATGGTGTGCTCTTTCCATACTTTCAGAAAAGAAATTATAAAGCATACAGCAAATAAAAACTTCCCCAAATTTCCATGAATACAATGAAGTCCTTAGTGCTTTGTGTGTTGCTTTTGAAGGAAAAAGCCTTTCAAAGCATGCCCACATTTGACAAACTGTCAGTCCTTTGGCTCTTGCTTCATCTAAACTGAAAGGTAATTAATTCTCTTCCTGACTTATATTTGATGTAGCTGTTATTTTATTTTCTTTTTTCTTTTACTAAATTTACCATGTAACTGTCAAATGTCTTAAATGACACCACACCCTTAGCTCAGTAATTACTTCCTTTTAATTGACTTGTCCAGTATAGGTAGCTTTTCCTAAGTAGTGAAGAAATCCACACCACCTAATTCTGAATTTGGACTATGCTATGAGAAGCAAAAAAAAAGTTCAAAAAATTATTTTATGAAGAACATTAGTTTGAAGTTAATGTTACACTTTTAAAGCAATGCACTTCATCAGATAGAACCAATAATAGGCTAGTAGTATACCAAAATACTACCTTTTACAGGCAGGAAAGATACATTCTTGAATTTCAATGTATAGAAAGATTAAAAACAAATTCCCAACTACCACTTTGCATTACATATAATTTGTAGGGTTTATAGTGCAGTACTAAACATGTGCAACACCCTCTGCAAATCACAAGTTTTCCATGTTTTAGTTTTTATTAATAAAAACCCAAAAACCAAAACCAAAAACAGAAACAAAAAATCAAGAAAAATTCCGTATTGTTTTTAGAAAAAAAATGCAGTTTAGATAATATTGACAGTAAATCCTTTTATGCTGGAGAAATAAAAAGAGAAAAAAGCAAAAATTCTATTCCAACATCAAAACTAAAAAAAATGAAAACAAATAAATCTGAAATACATACGAATGGCCTTTAAGTCAAAAGGTGCAATGCTATTTTTCTGTGCTTCTTTCTTTTTTTTATTCAGAATACAAGTTTACCCAGTCTAGTTTTCTCAGAAGCAGTTAAAATGCTTGTTGTGTGGAACAGCAAAATCTTGCAGACTGTCACCAGCATTGTGTCACGTTCACTGCTAAGGCATCTAAATTTTATGTTTCTGTGAGTCTTACACTGCAGTGAATTACAAAATGGCAAAAATTAAGATCTCAAGGATGGGTATGGAACAAAGTACAAATTCATGCAAATATATGACATATGTAAATAAGATACATTAGGCACTTATAAACACATATATTATATTCACAATAGTGAACATTATCACCCCAGTATTTAATGGCTGCTGGCAACTAGACTCATGAGCTACAGTCAGTCCTGCGTTTCTACTCTTTTCCACCCAGTCTGTTAATAAAAACATCTGAGGATAAACATATTAATTAGAGGACTTTTACTCTGTTATATGCTGCTTTTTTTCTTTGCTCATTCAAAAATACTGGATTAGATTGAAAGGTTTAGCAAGAAAGATAGTAGCACATAATTTTCTAGAAAAAGACAAGGGAGATCCAGCTACACTCAAACATGTTGAACTGGAAAAAGAAAAAACAAACCAAACCATTTGCTAATATATTTCATTCGGGGTTGTAAGAGATGTATTGCTCCTAAGGAATATAGCTGTCTTGGTAGATCATGTAAAAAAAAAGATAATCAGAAGTGCATTTAGATCCTGATGCCTTAGGCCACAAAAAAGTGGAAGCGTAAGTAAGGCATGTAAGTGTACGGGTTTCCATACTCTCAACTATCCATGAGTCTATTTCTTTCATTAAAAGCCATGATAAATAATACAATGTAGGCAAATAATTGTATAAACTCTCATTTCAGAGGAAAGGAACCAGACTTACAGCACAGTGAAGGCAAATAATGACTATACTCAGAGAATAAAAACAATGAAGCTCTACATCAAAATAATTTGTGAAGGCAACGAGTTTTCCAGAGACTGCAAGCAATGAGTATCAATAAGAACAGCTAATGGTATTTTCTGCTTTTGAACCTGTAGAATTTTAGTTCTGCTCTGGTTTTCAGAAATGATAATTTCTTCCAGGCATAGTGATCTAATTTTCTTTATGAATTTTTTTATTTATGAAATCTAGGATACCTACACAAGAGTAATTGCTATACAATTTTGTCTGTTGCTTTTCTTTTTTTCTATAGCAGAAGTAAATTGAAGGCTGTTGTAGAGCTACAAGAGCTCTTACATATGTGACATAAATATTTCTTCCTGATTGTGTCACAGGCTGCAAAGATTGCAAGCATATTGAGCACTGCAGCAGAGAGTATACCCAGTGTTACTTGGTTTTAGGTGGCTGTAAAGCATTAAATGTTTTAGTTAAGGTTATGGAAGGTCATCTCCAGAGAGAGAGTCATCCTGGTGTAAAACATGTCCTCTCTGTCTTTCATTAGGTAGAGGATAAGTCTACAGGAGTGCACTTAGATGACGTGTGCTACATTGGCTTTTTAACAATTTAATCTGAAATATAAGGTACAAAGTAATGGAACTAAATGAATATGCTTCTTGCAAGTACTGAATTGCAAAAATTAGGATACCTTTCATTTTCAGGGAAGTTAACATAGTGACCTCTTTCAGAGATGTTAATGAAAAAAGGCTGTTCATTGGTGAGCCTCTGAACATGCTCCACTTCACTCCTAAAGCCAGAGAAGAAATCTCAAGGCAGAATGCCTGAAGTTTCACTGGAGCTTTTCCAGCTGAGAGATTAGGTGCCACAGTCCATGAACAGTCATACAGGCTCCACACTTTCATTATATTTTCTTTATGTACTTGCAACACACAAAGCAACTCACCTCCCTCCAACCTAAACAAAATAATCTTGGTGGAAAAAATTAAAAGCATCATTAAAGAATAGAGTCATACTAGCCTTGTCTAAAAGTTTTCTTCCAAGAAAATTTTGGGTTTTACTGTTTTATGAACCAAACATGAGGGTTATTTCAGAAGTACCATAAAACTGGAGTTTTCCAAGTTAATTAGTAGATATTTCCTTGTTGTTGTTAGTTATTATATATATAGATGTATATGCAAATATACTAAATTTTTATTTTATAATTTTAATCCAATAATTAAGACCTCACTGGCAATTTATTTGATTTTGTGTTGTCACCATCTGGTTACTAAACAGAGAAAAGTTTCAGTTCTTTAATTCTCATTTATAGTGTAGCACTGCATTCTTAAAATGCCAGTAGATCTCTCCCCACTCTCTCCCATCACAAACACAAATACTTCTATATGGAATTATTTCAGAAAACGGGAAAAAACACAGGACTCTGAATAAAAAATGCAAGTCAAAGTAAAAAAAAATAAAAAAAATTAACAACTTCTAGAATTTTAAGTAAACCAGGCTTGTATCTTGAATATGTTTACAGAAACTGCTGCATACATCACTTTTCTGATTTTTTTTCTAAACGAAGTCTGTTTGTGATCAGTCCTCAAACTGCTCTTTGCGAGACTTTCATGGAAGTGTAGGAATCATGAGCATAGGTTTAGCAAATATGCAGGAAATATCTCAAGGTAAAAAGAGCATATTTTTAAAAGGTTTTTAGCACCTGCAATCTTAAAATTAAATAATTTGTTATTGAAAAGCTTAAAAACAAAAGGTATTCTTCATGTTTACCACTAAGACTCTTCTGTAAACTAAATGTTATTGTTGAAAGAACAAAGATTTTGAAAGATCTATATTTTCTGTAATAGTTAAAAGCCTTAAATGATAGATATATTTGTATTACATGGAGGGTACTTGGGACAATATTTTAATTTTCTGTGGCTAAAAATATTTCTGTTCTTCAATAGGAAATAAAAATCTAAATAATCCACATTAACTACAGCAATCAAGTTACAGATTTTTTTTAAATTTATGCTTATTGCAAAGGTGAAGGCTTTTCCTTAAATCCATTTAAAGAAACAAAATCAAATTATGAACTAATGGAATCTGCAGGTACAGTGAAAGGAAGTCTTGATCTAAATATACAGATTTTTCCAGGGGTTTAGATTTCATGTTCATCCAGAAAACCTACTTGTGATTTGTACATGCAGGCTTATATTATAGTTTCAGTGAACAATTTTTCCATGCATCACCAATTTGATGCCTAGCAACACAAGCTCTTTTAGTTCAAAATGCATTAAGTTAGATGGTATTAAAATTCTTGGCTGGATTCAGATATGCTTTTGTCAGTGAACACAATGCAAGAGTTGTTTCAAAATCAGATCATAGGAATACATTCAGTAGTTTTCTATTACAATATTGAAGTCTTTCTGACAACAGAGCCATGCCAACTCCTGAGCAGAGCTGAGGATCAACAATTCTTACAGAAATAGGGGGGAACTGAAGTACTTAGTGTCACTCATTATCTGCAGTTTGACATTAACCTGAGTAACAAATATTTTAAAATAATTCAATTTAAAATATAAAAAGCATGTGTGTAAGCAGAACTCAATTTTTTGTCATATATGCTTCCTCAAAGAAAATGTCCTGAAATAGCTCTTACACTGGACATGATCCAATTCCAGACAGTCCAATTACCTTTTCTTTTTAAACTTTGGTTCATAATGAGGGAGATTTTGCAAGGAATTGGTTTGCCTCAAAGAACTACATGTTTAAGCTGCAATAGTAGAATTTGTGAAAATCTAACTAGCATTAAATAAGAAAGAACAGCTTCTACAATGCTTCTGGGGAAAAA